GGGTTTAGGGGTTGGGGTTCAAAGGTTGCTTCAAAGCAGTAGTATGCTATAAGGGTTGAGGGTTTACAAGCAGGTTCCTTAGAGGTGCCAGAAGTGTTTGGGATCTCGGGTTCAACCGGTTGCATATAAGATCACTACAAGGGTTCAGGGGCAATGAACTCCGAAGTTCTGTCTGGTTGAACCCTGAACCCTAAACCCTAAACCCTAAACCCTAAATTTAAACCCTAAAAACTGAACCCTAAACTCAAAAACCCTAAACCCTAAACCCTGAACCCCTAAACCCTAAACCCTAAACCCTAAACCCAAAAACCCTAAACCATGCAGGGGCCTTCATTATCAGAGTACGTAGGGTTCCGTTAATAGAGCTCCTAGAGGGATCCCTTAAGGAATTTATAAGGGGTCCTTGTCAGGGATCTATAAGGGGTTCCTTTAAGAGCCTTATATTGGCTAGAACATAGCTTTCTGGATAAAGTAGAGTAGAGTTGCAGCATGTTTATTCAGGCTTCTACAGTAGCTCAGTCCAGTGGCATGTAGGTGAAGGAGGTGCAGCAGACACCGTACAACAGCACCTCGGCCAAACATGGAGTGGGAAACCTTGAAAACGGTGTTTAAATTAGGGTCATGCTTAGTACTAGGGGGTCCGGTGATTTAGGGTCCTACTTTTTGAGGTCTGTGTTTGCCAAATGTTTGCGAGCTTCCGCTCTGTGTTCTTGTTGCGGTGCGTTTAGTCCTTACCCAGAAGATAGGCACTTCGCCTCTGAAGAAACTTCTCGAACACAAACGACCGCCATGTACCCCCTTGGGGTTTAGGCCTTAGAGTTTCTACATCAAAAACACCCTTAAACCCTAAACCCTCATGTAGTCCCACATAATCTCCAAAGTCTCGCAATCTTAAAAGCCCCAACCTTGGCCACTAGCAGCTCCGGCAGGTATCTTTTGACTCAGTAAGTCTTAGGATTTAGGATGTTAGTGTTTAAAGGTTTGGTTTTGGGCAGCCTCGGCCTGTTACATCGCCGAAACATGCCCGAAACCTTGAAGCCTGAGATGGCTCCACGGTTTAGGGTTTAGGGTTTGGGGTTTGAGCCCAGCCCTAAACCCTAAAAGGCCCTAGAACTTGGCAAAACAGCCCGCGCAAACCGAATCACAGACACGGCTGAGCTGCACAAAGGGCCGTCCATGGAAGTACTTCAGCACTAACCAACCTGCAGAGGGAGGCCCTGTGGAATTTGGGGCTTGGGGCCTTTTGGGGGTAGGGTTTAGG